GGGTCTCCTCGGAGGGGTCCGGGGTGGCCGAGTCCCCGGCGGGTGGCGGCGCGGGTCCAGGCGGCGCCGGAGAGCGCGCCCGGAACGCGGCGGTGGCGGCGGTGGCGACGGGCCCCGGGCGGCTGCGGCGGCCGCATGTGCGAGCTCCGGCGCCGGCCCGAGCGTCGGGTCATTTAATTGGGGAGGAGGGAGGCGGGGCGGCGCGGGGCGGAGGGCGCGGGAGGGAGGCGGAGGCGGGGAAGCCCTCCCTCGCGCCGCCCTGCTGCCCGCCTCCTTCCGAGCTCCTCCTCCCCTGCCTCCTCCTTCTCCTTCTAATCCTCCTCCCATTCCCTCCCCTCCGTCCCTCCTCCCCTGACTCATCCTCTCCTCTCGATCCTCCTCCTCCTCCTTCCTCCCCTGACCTCTTCTCCCCCTAGCCCCCACTCCCTCCACTCCGTCCCCCTCCTTCCCCCCCCCCCCCCCCCCCCCCCGCCCCGTGTCCCAAACTGTGGCACAATAGCGCTCAGCTCCTCTGTCTATTCTGTGTCCAGCAGGAGCCCGCGGTGATTCATTGCTCCAATTAGGGGCTCTGCAGCCCGTGGCTCGGGCTGTCTGAAGGGTCTCCTTTGGGACCCACGAAACGCATCAGCCGCTGCTGCTGATCTTTAAGGAAAGGTCAAGCCGGACGCACTACAGCCAGGTGAGGACAATGGGTGCCTAGGGAGGCTTGAGAAGGGCAACACACACACACACACACACACACCAGGAACTGGGGAGGCCCTGGCCCTTCAGCAGCCCAGGGTTGGGGTCACCTTTCTAAGCCCAGTGCCCTAGTTTTGGAGACAGGGAAAGGAGCTGTCTCCTGCATCACCCTGGAGACAGAGTCCATGCAGCCTGACCCTCCCCTCCCTCTGACTGGACAGGGGCTACCAGATCACCCTAGGGGTAGAGGGAAGAAGGGTTCTGTGTGTCCTGAGACTAAGGACTCAGCCTTTCTGTGCCCCTTTCCCTCTTGTTAACAGCGCTGCTGCCGAGGCCACAGACATCAAGGACTTAATGTGCTGTGCGCAGTTCCGTTGAAGTCATCTAACACAGAGACAGACCCTCTGCTGGCCAAGTTCAGCCCTGTTACATGCTTCTTAGCTGCTTCCCCCAAGAAGCAAGCGTGGGATGTCCCTCACTTTATGACTCAAAAGAAAGGGCCAGGCAGGCTTCAGACCAGGCAGCAGGGCTCTGCGTGGAGTATGCAGCCTCCCGAAGCTCACATCTGGCCCCTGTCACCCAGAAGCTGCTGGAGGCTCTCCTTGGCACCTCCCAAGCATACAAGTCCACACATGTATCACACACACTCACACACACACACACACTCACACAAGGTCCCCTTTGGATCAGATTGTTTGGGCCACCAAGCAATCCCAAACCTTTCTGGGCCTCGAGGCTCCCATCTGTAAAAGGACCCCCTCAAAGCTTCAGAACTGTGAGCCTCTACTTTCCGGGCCCATCTAGCTGTCTACCCTGCCAGCTGGAGGTGGTGCCTGGGCCCCAGACGCCAGAGTCCCCCCTTTCCCTCCTACTTGGTAAGCTGACATGTAAATAAAGCGCCCCTCCCCATAAATGGGCAGCCTCTTGGGAATCCCTTACATTCCAGGGCTCAAGGATCAACCAGGGTGGGGTGTCAGCATGGCTGTGGATGGGACTCTGTCCCCTCCCAGGCCCAGGAAAGTGCTGGCTCAGCAAACTGTCTTGCAGAATGGGGCAGGGCGGGAGGCATCCCCTCAGCTGCTGGCATTGTTCATACCTTGTTAGAGGAGAGGCCGGTGAAAGGGCTCCCTCATGAAAGGCCCCTGTCTGTTCTTACCCAGGAAGGGCCCTGGGGTCTCACCCCATGGGAAGGAGCCTAGGGAAGCTGTTCCTGTCTAAGCACAGCCAGGTCTCCCTGGGTGAAGGGTCCCTCAGCCTGGTCCAGCCACCCATCTTCAGAGCCCTTCAAGCCCATCCTTAGGATCTCAGTTGGGGCCGCCCTTGTTCCTCCACATCTGTTCATCACCCATTTTATTTCCTTTACCATCTTCTGCCTCCTACATCCTTCTATCTCCCAAGAGTCAACTTCTCCCAGGCCCAACCTGCACACAGAATAGCCAGGCCTGGCTTTGGACCTGGGCCCAAAGCCCCAAACCCCATTCTGCCAGCTGTGTGTACCTCTGGCAGAGGCAGACCTCTTAACTCTGCAAACCTCAGTCTCCTGCTATGTGCAATGGGCACATGCTCCCTCCATGGTGGTCCAAATGAGAGCAAGAAGGATGCCTGGCAAAGAAGGCTGACATTGTGGAAGACCAAGTGTGCACGGATGTATGTTAATGCATATGTGTGCCGCATGCACATCTGTGTGCTTTGGTGTTTATGTGGACAAGCGCAAGCATACACGTGTGTGTTGTATTTATAGTTGTGTATGTTACTGCATACTAACACACACGTGTCTGTGTGTGTACGCACAAGTCCAGGCATAGCGCACAGGCATGTGCTCTGCCTGTGCGTTAGTGCGTGGTGTTATGCAGACATAGACTTGTGTTTACATGAATGCATGCGGGTGTGCGCTTATCTCTGTGTGTGAAGTGGGTGGGGGAGGGGGTGCCGTTTCTCTCAGTGGCTGGATGACTCAGGAAATCCCCTGGCACAGATGAGAGAAGGAAGAAGACAGGTGACGATGCTGAGTCATCTGGGGGTGGGTGACATGGGGGCGGAGCCACAGCACAGCCAGACATAGCAGACTGACATCACAGCAACATTTATTAGCTATGTGACCTGGGGGGCCTGGGGGGGGGGGCTTCTGACTCCTCAGAACCTCTGTTTCTTCATCAGGAGAGCAGAGCTAACAAAAAGGCACATTCCTTAGGGCCGGGAGAAGCAGAACCTAGGCAATCCTGACAGGCCAGGCTCTACAGAGACCAAGGCAAGAGAATCTCAAGTTCAAGGTCAGCCTGGGCTACACAATGAGATGGGTCTCAAAGGAAAAAAAAAAATTGAGGGATCCAGGCACCCCCCCCCCCCAAACTGGAAAGAAAGAGCAGTGGTGTCCCTGCATGCTGAATACAAGCCTGGTCCTTGCAGGAACCAACTCCCAACTCTCTGCAAATCCCATGTGGCATTGTGCCCTGGCTTTCTGATGAGGAGACTGAGGAGGGGAAAAAACAGCCCACAGGTACAGCAGGCTGGGTGAGAAAACACATCCCCACCCCCACCCCAAGCTCCTTAGTAAGCTGCTAGGAGCAGTTCACCCTAAGTCCAGCGTGAAGCACAGAGAGCCTCAGCGTCTCATCTCTCTTCTCTCCTGTGTCCCCAGCTGGGCACCTAGGGAAACCGAGTTCTCACAGGCTCTGGTCTGGGCACAGAGCCAGCTGTGTGGTGTGCCAGATGTTCAAAATCAAGGTGCCTCAGTTTCTACTTCATGTTCCAAAGTCATTCCAGCAGCCAGCCTGGCCGTTCAGATGTGCAAAGCTTACGTTGGATAGAGCCATCCACACATGCCTGCCAAGCGCACGCCTTGCCTTTAATCCCAGCACTCAGGAGGCAGAGGCAGGCAGATCACTGTGAGTTTGAGGCCAGCCTGGTCTACAGACTGAGTTCCAGGACAGCCAATGCTTCACAAGGAAACCCAGTCTCCAAAACCACAAACAAAAACAAAAAGGAGTCACAGCATCTAGACTCAGGGTACCCAGCAGAGCCATCTCCCTGCCTGCGGCTGTGGAGGG